TGCATGTGGGGGGGCAGGGAGAGTGCCCACAGGAACTCTATATTTTGTGTTCAGTTTTGCCACGAGCTTAAAACTTTTGGGGGAAACCAAAGCAGGAACATCACTAGTTTGGAGCCAGCCTGGACTACAATGTGAGATCTCACATCAAATTTTTTAAAAAAGTAAAACGGATTGAGAATCCTGAGTTCCCAGCCATCAGGAGCCTAAGGCAGGATTAAAAATTCAAGCCAGTTTAGCTACACAGTGAGGCCCTGTTTCAAAAGAGGGTAGAGGACTGACGATATAGTTCAGGCATAGACTACTAACTAGCCCAGCATGCTTCAGAACCTAACTATTAAATAAATAATAAGAAAACTGTTTTAAAAATCAATTGATCTTAGTGACTGATGTTATCAGTTTTACCAAATGAAAAGCTTCACTCTAGAGCCAGTCCTGAAAGAACATGCATCCTATGGACTTTGTCTCTAATTTATTTATCTATTCATTGTTTTGTAGAGGGGCGTACTATGACTCATGTGGATGTCAGAGAACAACCTTCAGGAGGAGGCTTTCTCCTTCCACTATGTGGGTTCCAGGGATTGCACTCAGGCCTTCAGTTCAGGTGACAGCAAACGTCTCAACCTGCCGCTCCATCTCTCTGTCCCCAGCCCACATGCTTTAACAGACAGAGAGCCTTCCATCTTTGGAAATCTGAGCTTGATGGACAATATAGCTTCACACTCCCGAGAAGTAGAACCCATTCAATCTCATGCCTCAGTGATCTGCGCTCTGAGCTGCCTCTGTATACCTGCCTTCATCCTGGGAGATCAAAGGTCACTAGAAAGAGAATAACTGGGGCTGAAGATGCATCCGTTGGGAGAGTGGTTGCCTAGCATGAGGGAATCCTTAGGTTCAATCCCCAGTACCACATAAACTAGCTTTGATGGTGTATGCCTATAATCCTAACATTTGGGTGCTGATGGAAGAAGATGGTAAACTCAAGGTCACCCTGGGCTACATAGGAAGTTAAATAGCCTGGGTTACATGAGACCCTGGAGAGAAAGAGGAAAGAGAGGGAGAAGGAAAAGAAGGGACTGGGGGTGGAGAATACTTGCTGAAAGTAAGAATAGCTGGTAGGTGAGCAGGTCCTAGGATAGTTCCTGGGGAATTCCAAGTCTGGCTCAGTCTGGGCTTCCCCAACCTGGCCTAGGACCTGCCTTATGCTGAGTCCCTCGCCTGGTGGGCCTCTTGGAAACTTGTAAGGCTGGTTTGAAGGTGGAGGGCCAAGAGGGGAGCAGTTTCCATACCGCCCAGCTTCAGGGAACCTGCCCCACCCGATGCCAGAATAAAGGGGAGCTAGATGTGGCTGCCCTGGGATCCCAGCACTTAGGAGGTGGCAGGAGGTTAGAAAAGCTCCAGGCCAACCTAGGCTATATAAGAGAGTCAAGGACATCCTGGAAGGAGAGGAGGTGAAGAGAGACAGAACCATTCAGCAGGACTCAGACGTCAGCACTCGGAGAAGAGGGCAGATTCTGTACTACAAACCTAGGTGGGTTCCTGGGATAAAACCAGAGCCGTGCTCTATGTTTAATCAGGGGCTGGAACTAGGCTGGGAGGTAACCTTCAAGATCCAGGCATCGTAGTTCCCACCTGTAATTCTAGCACTTAGCTCACTAAAGCAGAAGATTGCTTTATGTCCAAAGCCAGCCTTGGCTACAGATTAAGACCCTTTCTCAAGATGCAAAGCCACAGGTGACTGGGAAGATGGCTCATTTGGTCAGAACATCTGCTACATAAGCATGAGGGCCTGAGTTAGAATCCCCTTCCACCATGTTAAAAAAGCAAGTAAACCCAGCATTTGAAAGCAGAAATAGACAGTAGATCTTGGGAGCTTGCAGGTAGCTTAACCCAAACAATGATCTCCTGGTTCAGGGAGGGACCCTCCCTCCAGGCAATAAGGCAGACAAAGATAGAGAAAAATACTGATACTCTCCTTTCACCATAAATGTGCATACATGGGATATTCACGCATGTGCATACACCATACACATATGAACATGCATACACACACATGCATAAAGATACACACACACACACACACACACTTTCAGACTTTAAGAAAGCAGAGTCAATGAGATGGCTCAGTGTGTAAAGGCGCTTGCCTCCAAGCCTGGTGACCTGAATTTGATCACTGGGACCCACATGGTAGAAGGAAAGAGTTGACTTTCACAGTCCTCTGCCACACATGCATCATGCATGCACACATAGGGAGAGAGGGGAGGGAGAGAGAGAGAGAAGGAGACTCAAAGCTGAGAAGGAAGAGGAAGACCTCAACCTCTCCAGCATCCTGTGGTGGGGGATGTGTATGCAGCACAGGAGGGGAGGGTGGCTCTAACCACAGGCTTCCTCTCTCTGCTTGCTGGAATGTAGATATCAAAGGTTCTTGGAAGGCCCACATGTTAAAGGCTGGGTTCACAGCATGTGGTGATTGGTGAGGGATACTGGGAGGGAGTCACTCAAAGGTACCCTGACCCTTCTTTCCTCCATTCTTGCATCTCAGTTTATGTGAGGTAAACAGACTTCTCCACAAGAAGTTCCTCTCTCCTCAAAGGTCCAGAGCAGCCAGGCCAACCAACCGACTAAGAATTACAACTGCTGAAACTGTAAGCCAAAAGATATCTCTCTTCCTTAAAAACTGATGGATGTCTCTGGGTATGACTGCGTGTGCCTTTAATCCTAGCACTCAGGAGGCAGAAACAAGCAGATCTTTGTATTTGAAGGTAGCTAGATCTACATAGCATAAGTTCTGGGGGCTATCTAGTAAAATCCTGTCTTTAAAAAAAAAGGAAAGAAAAAGAAAGAAAGAAAGGAAGGAAGGAAGGAAGAAAGAAAGAAAAGAGAAACGAAAAGAAAAATATCTTAGATAACAGAAACAAGCCTCCACCTTGCCCAGCATAGCCTGTTTTACCTGGCAGCTACTGGCAGCTACAGGGCTGTGAGACAGGGTAGAATTTATTGGGTTGACTTCAAAGCATCACTCCCAAGAATGGACAGAATTTAAACTAGATATGATAGTACACACCCAAAATCCCAACACTTAGAGTCTAAGGTAGGAGAACTCTGAGTTTGAGGCAAGCGTAGGCTACATAGCAACACCCTGTCTCAAAATAAGATTTTAAAACATAGCAATAAGTGGCACACACCTATAATACCAGGACTATGGGGGGTGGGGGGGTGGAGATGGGAGGATCGGGAGTTCAAAACCAGCCTGGGCTACTTGAGACTGGCTCAATAGGTAAGTAAGTAAGTAAGGGCTGGGTGAGAGAAGAAAGGAAGAAAGAAAGAAAGAAAGAAAGAAAGAAAGAAAGAAAGAAAGAAAGGAAGGAAGGAAGGAAGGAAGGAAAGAAAGAGGGAGAGAAAGAGGGGGAGGGAGGAAGGAAGGTAGGCTGGAGAGATACTGAATATAAATAAATAAGTAGCTGGAGAGCTGGCTCAGAGGTTAGAGCATCTGTCTACAGTGAACCTAAAGCTAGATCCAGCACTTACATCAGGTAGCCCACAACAGCTTGTCACGCCATTTCCAGGGAATCCAATGACCTCTTTTGTTTTTCATCAGCGTGGCCCTCCTGAAAAAACCCACACATATGTAATATAAACACATGTACACAATTAAAATAAGGGGGCTGGAAGAGATGACTTGATGGGTCAAGGCATTGTGTTGTGCAAGCCCTGACAACTGGAGTTCCCTCTCTAGATCTCCAAGCAGGAGGAGAGACCTGACTCCAACAGTTGTCTCTTACCCCCACTCGCATGCCATGGTATGTGTTTACATATCCACATTCATCTCAAGGCACACACAACACACATATACACAATAGTAATGATAGGTTATTTCTCCGCAGGTGAAATGAGACAATTCAAGCCAGATTAAAACATATCAAAGACAGGTTTATTGGGAAGCAGGTTTATTGGGGCGAGGAGGGCGCATAGGACAAGGGCCTGAGGAGGTGTACATTTTACATATCAAAGTAGACCTGTCCTCCAGGTTCTTCCAGCATCCCTCAGTCCCTACCTGGAATATCCTGCCTGCAACCCTGAACTTTCCAGCCCAGGGGCTGGGCTGTCCTTCTCCCAGAAGCTCTTCCTTATATAATCCAAATATTTTGGTTTCTCTCTTTCTGTCTCTCTCCTCTCTCTCTCTCTCTCTCTCTTTCTCTCCCTCTCTCTCTCTC